ACACACACACACACACACACACACACACACACACACACACACACACACATGAATTTCTGTCTTTCTTCTCTTCTTCCTCCTCTTCCTCCTTTTCTCCCTCTCTGTCTCTTCTTTCCATCTCCATCTGTCTCTGTCACTCTTTATCTCTCTCTATTCCCCCACCTTTCTTCTTTCTTCCTTTGTCCCTGTCTATCTCCCTCTCTTTCTACCTGCTTTCCCTCCTCTCTCTCTGTCTCTCTCTGTCTCTCTGTCTCTGTCTCTCACTCTCTCTCTCTATCTCTCTCTGTCTCTCTCTCTCTCACTACCCATATGTCCTCTGTCTCCTTTTTTTCTTTTTCATTCTCCATTTCCCTTCAGGACCATTAGAAGTGGTGATGATTCAAGCCCTCTTTTTCATTGAACATTTCCTTGATCTCTACCCTTGCTCTTCATGGTTGTTTTCAGCTCCCAACTGCTATAGTTTCTGCCTTGCAGTGAGAAGGCGCTCCATCCTCTTAGGGATAGGGACAGGAAAAGAAGTGGTCATCCTTCAGCCCTGCCCACAGAAGTGGGAGGAAAGGGCTGGTGATAAACAGAAAAAGAGTCTCAGACCCTGCCCCACCCCAGCTTGTTCACCTGATTCCCACCTGGTGTTCTTCCCTCCTGCCCAACCTGAGAATTTGAAGCTAGGAGAAGGACAGTGCTGGGCTTGAAGTCAGTAGAGACTCAAATTGGAACCCACCTCTGACACCTATTAGCCATGTGACCCCAAGCAAATCACAAGCTTTCTGAGCCTCAGTTTTCAAATCTGTCAACTGGAGAGAATAATACCTTCAGAACCCACCTTCACGGGATTGTTATGAGGATCACATGAGACCACAGATGTAGAATGCTTTACAAACATTAACATGCAAGTCTAAATGTCAACTATTATTATTAAAGTCTCTAGGCCAACATAGAAAGAGTGCTAGACGTGGCATCAGGAAGACCTGGGATCAAATCCCTCTTCTGATTGTTGTTGGCTGGCCAAACCATTTAGCTTCCATGACTTTGGTGCAAAGACATCCCACACGGGGAAGCCCTCAAGGCTGACAAAATCCTAGATCCCTTGGGTTTTTGTGGATCTGGGCTTGTTCTGTAATAATATCCCATCTTTACTTGTCAATTTCTGTTCCTAAAATGTGGAATGGGAAGTCCCAGAGAAACCCTTCCTCTTTTTAGGGTCCTGGGCTTCCTAGATGGGGTCTAGAAGACAGCAAAGAGGAGGCCTTGAGCTCCTGTGGCCTTCAAGAGCCAATGACTGGTGGGGCTTAATTCTTCACCCCCTGCCCCAGCACTGCACAGGCATAGGCTTCATTGGGGAAATGATGACCACACTGGAGAGGACCTAGATGCCCACCAGAGGGAAGTGGAGGGGCACACACGAGTGGCCAGAGGGAGATCTGCTCCCTGGGAGCCAACAGACAGATAAATCCCCTTTAGCTCCCTGCTATTTGGTGCCTCCTTACCGAGGCCTGGGTCCAGAGGATATGTGTATTACTGGGACAATTAAGGAAATCACCACTATAATTCACATTTCTGGGGATGCAGATAGAGAGCATGCCTGCTTCTGCCACATACTAACAGAATGACCCTGAGGAAGTCACTTAACCTCTCCAGGGATGCCACAGGCAGTCCTAAGACTATAAAATACTGACAGATTGGCAATCTGTATCAGTGGAAGGAACCTCCATTCCTGGGAACAACTCAGGTCAATGAAATCCTAGGTCTAGAATATTGAAGACATTCCTCTGGTGATCTGCTCTCTCCTTGGAGGTGGGTGGTGCAGGTTTTATTATCCCTACTCTGTAGGTGAGGAAACTGAGGCTCAGAGGATTTCAGATAGGTAGGAGGTTAGAATGCTTGGTGATTTATCAGACTAGAACAGTAAACCTTAAGTCTCACCCAGGTCTCTGAGCTCTCCCAGCCCCACCCACCTGGCTTGACTTCTACCTCCCTAGGAACAAAAATAGACTGGCCTCTGGCCCTCAGGCATGCCTGCTTTTCTTGGAGAGACTTTTAAAGGACAGGATAGGGGTGGGAGGGGGGGAAGGGAGGCATCTCTAGACAAAAACTGCTTTTTCATCCTGGAGGAACCAAACCAAAGGATTTCAGGGGACCTGAGTCACTGGAACATCCATCCCACAGAGACAGCTTTCTTCAGATCAGCATGGGAAAGTGCAACCCATCCCCTAGCCCAGAGCCCTCCTCCCCATCTTCTCATCCACGGAGGTCCTCAGTGCCACCTGACAGCCTACCTCCCTGCAACATGGAGGCAGAAGCCATATGGTGTCCACAGATCCTTTCTGACTGCTTGTCCATCACGTGAAGCTTCCCCCACCACTCGGAATGCTCCCTCTCCCTTCATCCTCTGCTCTCCCCCAGGAGAGAAGTGTACCTGAAAGGTGGCTGGAGGCCAACAAAGAAATATATTTTTTTAAGAGGTGTATGAGTAACCAGCTTCACTGGGGGAGCTCAATCACACAAAAAGAGGGGGTGCCATTCATCCCTTGATTCTCCTTCACCCACATCCCTTGAGTTGACTTAATCCCTGAACTCCCTTGTCTTCATCTGGGTGTGGACATCTGTACACCCAGGGACACCCTGAGTCCAGGGGCCTTGGAGTCTCTGAATGTATTTTGTATGCAGTTCCCTGGACTGATTTTTAGTCTTTCTTTAGCAAATCAAGGTGGGAGGGGGAGTTGGGGTGCCCTCACCCTGCTTGGATGCCAGCTCTCTGGAGGGCAGTGTGCCCAGAAGACAGATGCCCAAGAGCTGCTTCTGCCCAGGGGCCTAGCCCAGCCACCCACCTCTGTATGAACACTCCTCAGGTTAATGCCATCATTAAATGAGCATTTTGTCGATTTTCTCTGATGTGGCTGTGGCCTATGTGGTACCTTGTCCTTGATATGTTCCATGTGCGCATGCATTGTGTGTGATTGTGTGTGCATGTGCACATGTGCAAAACTGTTGTGGAAAACACCAGTGTGTGAGAGAGACATCCCTCTGAGAAGGGGTCAAGAAGCTCTGGAGTCTGACACTTTAAGAGGCAGGTCCATGACACTTGCTCTAGAGAATAAGGACCTGGGCTCAAATTCTGCTACCTGTGTGACCTTGGGTGAGTCCCTTTCCCTATCTGGTCCTCACTTTCTTCATCTGTAAAATGAGAGAATTGGGCTAGATGGCTTCAGAAGTCCCTTCTTAGTTCTGGACCTAAGATCCTATGGTCCTAAGTCCCTTTGCCTCTACGGACCTCAGTTTCCTCTTCTGAAAAATGAAGGGATTGGACTATATGGCTTCTGGGGTCTCTGCCAACTCCTTGATCAACCATAAAATGTGGGTGATTCTACCTATAGTACATCAAAGGGTGGACGTAAGGCTCAAATGAGGTTGTGTGAGTAACGTACTTTGCAAACTTTCAAGGACAATAAAAATGTTATTATATCTATGCATATATATATATATATACATATACTATAGTTATTAGTGTTAGTACAGTTTGTTGCCCACAGCCCAGTGAGGCCAATAGTGCAAGTGTGATGGTCGGCATTTTGCAGATGAAGCATCCTCAGATGCTCTGAGGAGCCTAGAAGAGGAGGTGGGGCAGGGAGCAGTAGCTCACATTTCTATTGAGCCTTTAGGTTTCTGAAATGTTTTCCTTACAATTAGCTCTGTGAGATGAGTCATCCAAGGATCACTGTCCCCATTTTAGAGACTGACCAAACTGAGGCTCTGAGAAGGATCACAAAGCTTAGCAAGCATCAGAGCTAGGATTTGAACCCAGACCTTCAGACTCCACAACCAGCACTCATTCCATTACCCCATGTGACTTTGTCTAAGTTCTCGCAAGGACTCAAACCAGGTCTTCCACATAAGAATAATGTATAACTTTAGTTGTTACTAAACTACTTTGGGAGATGAGGATATTCTTACTATTTAGCAGATAGTAAAATCCTTACTATCCTTAATACCACTAGTTCCTCACACTAATGAAATTACAGCTGAAAAATCAAATAAAATATGCTATGGTTTTCAAAGCATTGTAACTTACATAATCTCATCTGAGCCCCACAAAACCCTATGTAATAGGGTAGTATTCTGCCCATTTTATAAATGGTGAAACTGAGGTGAAATGTCTTGCTAAGGATCACATAGCTCATAAGAGTTAGAGGCAACACTGGAATTCAGAATTTTCCTGCCTTTAAGTCCAATGGTTTTTCCCACTCTGCCATATTGGTGTCCATGTGAATATAATTGTCTTCAATATGTGTGTGTGTTTAAGAGTAAAGGCAGTTGAATTCAGAACCCTATGTTGTTCATATTTGATTCTAGCCTTTGATGTCTGGGTACCTGTGTTTGTCACTATGAAAGACAAATGCAGGCCTTGTGTGACTGAGTGAGTGACTCTGCCCTCTGTGTGCATAGGAATGGGTGTGGGTCTGGAGAAGGAGGCCCTGTTTCCATTTCCCAAATAACTTTTCAAAGAGGATACTGTATTTCACCATGACCTTCGGGAAATTGTACCACTTCTGAAGAAACCTGATTGCAAGGCCTCTTTCTGTAGCCAGCCCTGAGCCTGGTACAGCAGGAGGGAGGGAACACAGATAGGAAAGACGTCAGAGGGGGTTGTTTTCAAAACAAGGTCCTTTGAGGGCATCACTCAGGGAGCTGAAAGCCAGGCAGTCCCAAGCTGTTGAATTCAAAGAGGAGAATCATAGAATATTTAAGTTGGAAGGATCTTTAAAGACTGTGTTTTAACTGATACATTTTAGAAATGGGGAAATGAAGACCCCAAATGAGAAAGTTACTTATCCAAATCTAACAAGTGGAAGAGACAGAACTTGAACCCAGATCTTTTGACTTCCAATGTCTTCAATAGGTCATATGATTCCTTACTCTTGCAAGCAAAAAGGTCATTCATTGCAGGGCAGTCAGGAATCCAAAAGCTTAT